CAGTTGATCGATGGTGTTAATTGAGCTCAAAAGCGTGCTTATCAATTTTCTGCCTGTTGGCTCTGTCCATTTCTGACAGAGGGGTGTTGAAGTCTCGACTGAGACAGTGGGTCCTCTGTGCCTCTCTGAAGTTGTCAGTTTCTGCCAAATGGCACTCTGCTGCTGTCTGACACATATACCTTAAGGATGGGCCTCCCTGGCAGCTCAGCTGGTAAAGAGTCCGCCTGCAATGCAGGAGACCCTGGTTTGATCCCTGGGTCAGGGAGATCCGCTCGAGAAGGGATAGAGTACCCACTCTAGTATTCTTGGGTTTCCCTTGTGACTCAGGTGGTAAAAGAATCTGCCTGCAATGCGGGAGACCTGGGTTCGAAAGATCCCCTGGAGAAGGGAAAGTCTACCCACTCCAGTATTCTGGCTGGAGAATTCCATGGACTGTATTGTCCATGGGGTCGCGAAGAGCTGGACACAACTAAGCGAGTTTCACTCACTCAGTCACTCACCTTAAGGACTGTTCTGCCTTGGTGGCCCCTTCATTTTGTCACACCCCTCTTTATCCCTAGTAACTTTCCTTACTCCAAAGTCCACTCTTTCTGGGATTAATATGACTACTCCTGCTTGTTTTTGGATTGGTGTTAGCATGGTACACTAGTATCCATTTACTTTTAATCTACATGTCTTCATATTTAAAGTGGATTTCTTATGGACAACATATAGGACCTTTTTTTTTTTCTTCTTTCCTCCTTCTTTCTTTTAGGACCTTTTTTTTTAATTAACAGTATCTTGTGTTTTAATTAGTGCATTTAGACCAAAGTGTTTTCTTTCCTTTCACTCTCCCCCCGCCCCCCCGCCCCATCTTTTGTGGTTTTAATTGAGCATCTGTGATTCTGTTTTCTCCTTTTTCACTGGTTCTCTCCTGGCATATCAATAATACTTTTTTGTGCATTTCGTTTGTTTTTTTACTCTAAAAAATGGTTGCCCTGGAGTTTGTAATACACATTCACAACTAATCCGAGTCTACTTTCAAGTATCATATACTACTCCATGGGTAGTATGAGTACTTTATAATAACAAAATAATCCCAACCTCTTCCTCCCATCCCTTATTCCATTTGGTGTCATTAATTTCCCTTACACATAATCAAATGCACTGTTTCCACTATTTCAAACTATTACCTGTTATATCAGTTACGATGAAAAGCAGAGGTTTCACTCTACATTCACTTCCTTCTCCTGTGCTCTTCCTTCGATTATGTTGATTCAAGTTCCTGACCTGTATCATTTCCATTCTCTGCAAAGAACATCTTTCAACATTTTTTGCAAAACAGATCTAATGGTGACAATCCCCCTCACTTTCTGAGGCAGTCCGTGTCTCCTTCACTGCTGGAGGACAGTTGCACAAGGCACATAATCCTAGATGGGTGAGTTTTTTCCCTTACTCCACTTTACTCTGCTTGCCTGGCTTTTGAAAACTCAGCTGTCATTCTAATCTCTGCTCTGCTGTAGGTGAAGTGTTTCCTTCCTCTAGCTTTTTTCACTTTTTCCCTTTATTTTTGCTTGTCTGTAGTTTGAAAATTATAAGCCTGGGTGTAGTTTTTTTTTTTTTTTTTTTGGTGGGGGGGCAGGTAGACATTTATCTTGTTTGGTGTACTCTGAGCTTCTTGTATCTGTTTGGCATCTGGTATTAATTTGGAGAAATTCTCAGTCCCTACATTAAATATTTCTTTTGTCCCTTTTTCTCTTTCTCTCCTGGTATTCCTATGACATGCTACTTCTTTTGCAGCTGTCCTGCAGTTCTTGGAATAGCATTTGGGCTTTTTCCGTTTTTTTCTTTTTGCTTTGCATCTTTGTAGGTTTCTCCTGAGATATACTCAAGCTCAGAGATTTTTCCTCATCTGTGTCCAGTCTAGTAATATGTCTATCATAGGCATTCTTCATTTTTGTTAGTGTTTTTACTAGAAATCTCTAGCATTTCCTTCTGGTGTTTCTCAGAATTTCCATCTCTCTGCTCACATTGCTTATCTGTTCCTGCATGCTGCCTACTTTATCGATTAGCGCCTTTGACATATTAATCACAGTTATGTCAAGTCTTTGGTCTGATAGTTCCAACACCTCTGCCATGTCTGAGGCTAATTCTGATGCTGGCCCTGTCGCTTGCAACTGTGTTTCCTGCCTTTTAGTATGTTTTGTAATTTTTTCTTGATAGCCAGGCATGATGTTTGGGGCAAAAAGAACAGCTATAAACAGGCCGCTGTGATGTGGTGGTGGGTTTCAGGTACTGGGTGGAGGCCTCAGCCTGTCAGTGAACCTGGGTCTCTGGACTGAGAACATTCACATGGGCTTTTCAGTCTCCTCTCCGCCAGAGGCTGGAGCTGGGCACTTCCCCTTCCCCGCTTAGGCTCTGAGAAGACCCCAGCAAGTCAGCCTCGGGTTAATTAGCTCCCCGAGGGCAGGCTTGCTAAGAACACGGTCCTCCTGCCAACTTGAAATGGCTTCATTTCCCCGCTCCTGCCAGAAGCACAAAGGGGTTCTCCACCAGCGCTCACTGTGAGGGCCTAGTAGAGCTCCAGGAGGTAGAACTCGCCGAGGTGCAGGGGCCCCTTATGACTGGGGCCCTTGGGGTTTTAACTGGCTTGCCCACACGGAGCCTCCAGTAAATCATCGTTCGCAGTGCAAGACTCCCTGGAGACTCCTGCTCTGGTGATGCGCAATTCTCTGTCTTTGCTTGTCTCTCCAGTCGGGGCAGGGGTAGGGAGTGGGCAGTGATTTGCCCTCTCACCTCGCTTTTCTTGCAGATCTAAGAAGACTTGTTGATTTTTCAGTTTTTTACCCATTAGAACAGAGTGACGATATCCAAAGTTTCTTACTCCTTGTTTTTCCAAATTAAAGAAGGAAAGTCACAGCAGTGCATGAGAACAGCTAGCCTGCATGAGCCATGTCCTGAGGCCCCCTCCTTGTAAGGTGAGGGGGCTGGACACCTCGACCTCCAAGAGCCCCCACCCATCAAGCAACCACAACAGAGTGAGTTTGGATCTCTGCCCTTCAGGGTTGGGCCTGGTGCCCTGGCCTGGCCCAGGGCACGGAAGCGTCCGAGCACTCCCCCGGCAGGAAGGCACTTGAGACAACTTAGAAAATTCTCTAGGAATAAAAAAAACTCTGGGCTCACTCCGTCTCACCTGCCAAAGGACACAGATGCTGCATGAAGCTGCCTGGGATGCACCTCTCCCCACATCCTCTGCAGGGAAGAGGCCAGTATGAGTTTGAGGTGCTAGGGCATACGCCTAGAGTGGGACCAGAGGTCAGCAGAGACCTCCATGGGCCTCCACACGGCGTGGAGACCACCTTGGCCTCCTGCCTCACCCTCACCTGGGAGGAGTTTATTCCAGGTGTGACTGACACCTCTAGAAACCAGGCCTGACGGTCACCCCAGGTCCGCAGGCTGACCGCACCTGCCTCTGGCTGGTGAAACTCAATACACAGCTGCATTCCACTCACCCCCTTGTGGTCTGTAATCTGTCCTCAAATGTCACTCCACCCCCACCCTGGCCTATTCAGCAGGAAGCCAGCACTGCTTAAGCTAATTGTGGATCTGGTAAAAAAGGATCCAGAAAACAGGCAGGCTACCTCCTTGCCCAGGGCGAGGCGCCCAAAGCAGAAACCAGAACCGTTTAACGACCGCACAGCAAGGGTACAGGGCCTTCCCTAACCCTGCCCCCACAGGGCGCCAAGGACACACGCCAAGCTCTCCTGCACCTGCCGTCCTGAAACCCCAACCCCCATGGAGGCAAAGGTAAGAAACCGCCTGTCCCTTCACCCCCAACTCACACCCGGGGATTCCAGCAGCTGCTGGCCTAACCCACTCACACCACTTCAGATGCTAGCCTCAAGTGCTGTTGAAGCTGGGGACCCCAGGAAGCGTTGGGGTCTGCTAACAGTCAGACAGCCCCTTTCTTTTAAAGGACTTCAGGTCCGGAAACACTGACTTACAGCTCAAGTCTTCAAATATTAAAAGCAACTTCCAGCAGCATGTCACTCTCAAAAAAATTTTTTTTAAAACAAAAACAAATGGTCAAAATGAACACATGAAGTTGAAAGCTGCTCATACAATGTGCAAGCCCCAGAGTGAGACATTCACACGTGATCCCAAGAGCAGAGATGCTTCCATCAGCTGCAGGTGCAAACAACTCTGAGCAGGTTGTTCCAGGACCATGGTGGGGGTGCCAGGCTGAACTCAGGATGTCGCAGACACAGAAAGGTTTGAAGACTGGGATATGAGGAAGAACCTGAGGTGGATCTGCTACAGATGGGGGGGGGGGGCGGGGGCGGGTTCAGTCCCTGACAGAGGGGAGGCAAGAGCTGTGGGAGGGGCCAGACAACAGCACACCTTCAGAATGTCTTTGAATATAAAACTCCAAGTTAGGTGTAATTCTTCTGGCCATTCAACAAGCCCTTAACAACATGGGAGATGGATATGAACTTTTTCGTGTTAAAGAGCAGAACAGCCTGTCTGCCGCGGGCATACAGCTGAGGCGGGACAGCTGGGCACCCTGCCAGCTAGGGCTGTCAAGGTCTAGACCCAGGCTGGCAGCATGAGTCCCTGGAGGAGCACGGACAGCGCCCACCTCACTGCGCCCGCAGAGCAGGGCTGGCCCCAAGTAGTAAGTAGGCATCCGCGGTGCTAAGTGTGTGGGAGGCAAGCCGACGGCCCGGTCAGCATTCAGACGAAGCCTTGAGCGCCGCAGCGCTGGCAGCCCCGCGGGGCACGCGGTAAACACGAGCGTGTCACGCGCAGGACTGGCTCCGAAGTCCGTGGGTCGTTTATCAGAACAGAGCACGGGCAGCGGCCAGCGCGGCGAGATCACACGCTCAGCCCGACCCGAAAGGGCGCACAGCTCCCGGCCTCTCGTCCGAGCCTCGGCTCGGGCGCAGCTGCCCAGCTCGCTCTACGGTCCCGGGCCACACGCCTCACCCCCGACCACCCGGCGGGTGCACCCCCAAACACACCTGGAGAAGGGCGTGGGCCCCGCGCCCTTGAGTTGCAGCTCCCAGCGCTCGCCGGCCTCGGTGCACACCTCTCCCAGGTACATGGCGGCGCCGTCGCCCAGCTGCCCCGCGAACTGGCCGAACTGGTGGCCGCAGTAACAGTGAGCGGCGGGCTCGGCGCCCGGCAGCAGCGCGTTGCCGCTGAAGAAGAGCGCGGCCTCGGCCTCGCGCGCCTCGCGGGCGGCGGCGGCGGCGGGCGGCGCGCCCAGGCCCAGCAGCGCCAGCGCGGGCTCCGACAGCGCCACGACTCGCGGCCGCCGCAGGGGTTCGGGCCGCGCGCGGCTGAAGCAGGCGCCGGGCACCGGCCGCGGCGCGGACGGGGCGCCCTCGGGACCGGGCGGCGGCGTCTCCACCGGCAGCGCGCGCAGGGCGCGGTTGTCGAAGCGCAGCCCGGCCAGCCAGCGGGGCGCGGGCTCCATGGCGCCGGCCAACGCGGAGCAGCGGGCGGGAGGCGGACGGCAGGCGAGGGGCGGCGGCCGGGCGCGGGCGACCGCGAGCGAGGCCGCGAGCGCTGCGCGGAGCGCGGCCATCTGAGGCGCCGCAGCGGCGCCCGACAGGAAGTCCCGCCGCCCCGACAGGAAGTCCCGCCCTGGGCTCACCTCCCGGGCCGCGCCTGACTGACTGGAACGCTGCAGTCCGTGGGGTTGCACAGAGTCGGACACGCCTAGCTGAGCCGGACGCCCGTGGAAGTCTGGCTCTGATTGGTCTCGCCGTCCGTCCGCCTCCTCTCCAGGTCCTGCCTGGGGGACCGCGAGGTCCCGGCCGGACCCTGGGGGAGCGCGCGGCGGGGACTGCCCCGCGCCACAGTGGCAGGTCCTGGAGGCCCGCCTCGGGGGCTCCAGCCCGTCCGGATTGAGCGCTCCGGTCCGGTGACCGTGCCGAGTGACGGCCCCAGGGGACCCTCGGAGTGCCCCGCAGTTCCGCGTGAAGCAGGACCAGCTTTGTTAGGGTCTGGCCCTTGACTGTCCTTTGCCCAGCGCGCGCAAGACAGGGGGGAAAGACGGCGGCGCTGGTCAAGATCTGGCCGGAAGTCAGGGGGCCGTTTCGGGCCAGGAAGGCCCCGGGGTGAAGCCGAAGCCGGGGGTGCGGCCGCTTGCTCCTCCGGCGGGCCGGACGCCGCCCCTCCCCTCCCGCTGCCCTCCCCCGGCTGGGAGCCGGCGCCCCGCTGCCCCTCCGCCCTCCTGTCCGGCCTCCCTCCCGTCACCCCGTGCTTTCCTTGCGCTTCTCTCTAAAGTAAGCAGGCTCTTACTCTCCTGTTTCTCCTGTGTCTTTCTCCTCACCACGCGCTGGGACGGCGGCAGCTGTGCTGATCCGGGCCGCAGTTCCCCCAGAAAACCCCCGTGGACGCCCAGGAGGCTGGAGCGGGCGCGGGGTGGGGAGGGCCGAGCCTGGCCTCGAAGGGCCTCCCTAGGTGAGGAGGTGGGGTCAGTGTGCAGAGTGACTCCGGGGTCCAGTTCAGAAGAGTCGTGTGGGGCCCCCAGGTGACCCGCTGATGCCTGCCTGGAGAGGGTGGTCCTCGGAGGGGTTCCCAAGCCCCCGCCCACCCGGGCCCAGAGCAAAACCTGCTGCTGCTGCTGCTGCTGCTGCTGCTGCTGCTGCTGCTAAGTCGCTTCAGTCGTGTCCGACTCCTGTACGCCCCCATAGATGGCAGCCCACCAGGCTCCGCCATCCTTGGAATTCTCCAGGCAAGAACACTGCAGTGGGTTGCCATTTCCTTCTCTAATACATGAAAGTGAGAAGTGAAAGTGAAGTCGCTCAGTCTATCCGACTCTTCCTGACCCCATGGACTGCAGCCCACCAGGCTCTTCTGCCCATGGGATTTTCCAGGCAAGAGTACTGGAGTGGGTTGCCATTGCCTTCTCTGGAGCAAAACCTGAGACCTGGACAAACTTCCCCAGAGCCCTCCTGTCTGGGCCGCTCTGTCCAGCAGCCCCGATCCACCTCTGACATGGGGGGCTCTCCAGAACTGCCTCCTGGGGCCCCGCTCTGCACTGCTGGCTCCGCCCCCTCGGGGGTGCCCCGACTCCAGCTCCTCCCCAGAGGAGCAAGGATGCTACCATCTGCCTGGGGTGGGAGTGGCACTCCCAGGAACGATGGAGATAACACGGTGAGGGTCTGGTGGTGCTCAGCACCCAGAGCCGCCTCCTGCAGCCAGACGGCTTCCCTTACCCCTGGGCCCACCTGGGGTCTCCTCACCTGGCCTGCGGGTAGAGTCCTCTGTGCCCAGCCTCCTTCCTAACTGCCTGAGAGACCGGCCTGAGCTTCCCCTCTTCCTGACCCGCGCCCCCCACCCTCGGCCCCTGCCCTGCCTGCACTCTGGAACCTGGCGGGACTGGGTTTTGACAGCCTGCGGGTGCCTACTGGCCATGCACATCAGAGGGAATATCTGGTTGGTTCCAGCGGTCCCAGCAGGTCAACCCAGGAGCGGCAGTGGCCCTCCCTGCCCTGCAGCCTTGACTCCGCCTCCCTGTTTGGCCGTCCGGCCTCTGGACCTTCCGAGTTCGTCCTGTGCAGGTGGGTCCACGCGGCCCTGCTGTGTGGGGCTGAGGCAGCCCCTTCCTGGCTCCTCTCTGGAAACTCGGCCGACAGGCAGGCGCGCTGAGTGAGGCCGCGCCCTCCCGGCCGGGCGCCTAGGCCTGTGGGCCCCGGTGTGTGTGCACAGCCCCCTGTTGTCTGTGCCCCCGTGTGGCCCTGACTGCACCCCCATCATGGACCCTGGGCCCCCAGCGCCCCCCGCCCGGGAGCACCATCCTTTCCCAGAACGCACAGGCTGGCAGCGGTAGGCCGAGAAGTTGGGTCTCTGGGTCCTCAGCCTTCTCCCCCACCCCCAACCTGGAAAACGTGTCAGCAAAACGGGGCGCTTGTGGGCAGGGGGGTGTCAGCAGAGCCCCCAGCCCCCTAGGCACTCACCTGGGCCGAGGAAGGCCGAGGGGCGGCCAGTAAAACTGGTCCAGGAGGTCCCCGCGGTCACTGTCCCAGTGGGCCCGCAGCGTGTGGCTGTCCGTGTCCGGCAGGTCTGCCGGCAGCGTGGTGCGCAGGCCGGGCGGGGAGCCAGGCCCCAGGTGTGCTCCAGCCCCGGCCAGGGGTCACCCGTGGGGGCGCCCCAGGCTCAGGCCTGCCGCACTGGCCACCCCTGCCCTGTGTTCTCTGACGAGGTCCTGGGACCCAGTCTCTAGTTCTGCCAGCACCTCTCAGCCCAGCGGCACCCCGGCCCCAGTCTCCACTGGCCGCGCCCCCCTCGCAGAGGAGCGGGTGGGGGCAGGGACACCAGCATCCCCTATGCCGAGCGCCTGGGTGGGCCCACAGGCCCGTCTCTGGTGGTCTGGTCAGCCCACTCTCCTCCAAGTACTTGTCACATATTTGAAAAATGAAACCTTGTTGCTTTCCTGCTTGTCAATGTAATACAAACTTGCATTGGAATACATTAAAATTCCCAGGGTGAAGATTCAAGTAACTCTCCAGGCTTCAGGCTTGGCAGTTATTTTATACCTAACTTGTATCCGGCATTGTGGTTCATCTCCTCCTTGCCTTTCCTGCCTGGAGCCAAGGCTCAGAGCCTTTGCATCCCAGGAGCTAGCACCTGAGGGTGGTCTCTGGGCAGGTGTGCCTGGCCCCCGCCTTCCCTCCCAACCTCCGACGGTGAGGTCTCTTGTTTTTACCAAAGTTGACACGAGTCCACACCCCCCCGAGCTGCCGGCCGCATCCTGGAAGGGGGTGCGGGCTCCCCAGCGGGCTGGTACACACACCACTGGGTCCGGAATTCCCCACCGGGATCTGAGAGTGGCCCCTCCCCGAGAGACGCGGCCAGGATGGCTCAGAGCACTCTGGGGACCAGGGCCCCAGAAGGGCCTGCAGGTGACCCAGGAGGTGACTCACGACCTGATCACTGTCCCCTCACTGTCAGGCTGCCTCCTCCGGAAGAGGCCGCCCCCGCCCTGGATTCCCCCCACTGCTGTGGTCACCCGGTGGGTCCCATGTGGCCCTCACCCACCTGCCTTGGCTTTCCTGCCCTCCTCCCCCCCAACTTGGGGCTGGAGGAGCCTGGTCCCTGTCTGCCCCTCCCTGGGCTGCTCAGGGCAGGGACCCCGCAGGGTCCTCATGGGCAGTGAGAGGCCTACGGGGTGCAGACTTGTGGGGTGAAGGGTCAGCATCCGCTCGGCCCCTCCTGCCCTCCACCCCCACGCCTGGCCAGGCCTTGGGGGTCCCAGCCCACTGCCTGCACCAGTGGAGAGAACAGCCCTGGCAGGGGGAGGCCCAGGAGCCCTGGGGCCCCCAGCTCTCTGTGCCCGCCACTCTCACTGGCCTTGGACGCAGAGCAGCACAGAGGAGGCCGCGTGGGGTGGGTGAGCGTGTGTTCTGGGGGGAAGGCCCCTCTCTGCTCTGGGCTTTCTGGACCAATCTGAGCTGCGGGTCCCTGCCTGCCTCCTCCCAGATGGGCTGGGCTGGGCCGGGCGGCACTGCAGGGTGAGGGCAGGGTCCTGCGGGGGCGGGGGGAGCCCCCAGCACGCTGGCACCTCCCCGACCCGCCAGTCACTCGAGCCCCCTTCCCACATATTTCACAAGATGGCTTCCAAAATTAGATTTTATTTCAGTTTCTAAGGGACGGGTATACAAGCATGTGAATGACAATGACCTGGTCCAGCCCGTGGTGTGGATTTCACCTCATCTGGACACTGAGTCAGCACACACAATCAGACGAGGCCGTGGGCCCCAGACGCTACGCCGCTGACAGGAAACCAGGAGACACGCGGACAGGTGGCGACAGGGCAGTGCGGTGTGGGGCCCGACTGCACCCAGGCTGGGGCCCGTGCGAGGTGGACGGATGCCCTGCTGGCAGCCACCGCCTGTCCAGAGGGCAAGGGCGACCGCGGGCCCAGGCAGCAGGGTCAGCCCCCCGGGAGGGTGGGGCCCTGGGCCCCCGCAGCTGGAGGCAGGCGCGGGCCGGCCTGGCTGCCCGAAGCGGAGCGGATGTTCCCCACAAGCTCATCTTCCCAGGACTGAGACTCAAGAAAAAGACGCTCTCGGTTCCAACCAGATTTAAGGCTAGTATTTCCTGACGTTTGCTTCAATTTAAGTTAAAATTACCTGAGTAAAACAGTTTCAGACGTTTTTAAAAGCCCAAAACACAGAATCTCTGCAGGCAGAGCTGCTGCTGGCGCTACCTGGGGGCCTGAGCCTGGCTGAGTCGCCCCCAGGGGACACCCCAAGGCTGCATGGCCGCAGCCTGGCCCCAGGGAGTGGCCCCGACCCCCTGCGAGACACCCCCGAAGCCCGCTTCGGAGAGAAGGCACAGTGAGGAAGGGGCTGGCTGGCCTCCCGAGCCCCTGCCCCTGCCCCTGCCCAGCGGCTCGTCGCGGCCGGTGAGCCTCCTAACAGCCCACAGCGGGTGTGCGGAGGGGCTGCGGGGAAGCCCGAGCTCAGACAGTGAACAACTTTTATTTGGGCGGGCTGGGGGCGGGCAGAAGCCGGGCCGAGAGCCCCGCAGGGCGACCCCTGCCCGGGTGCGCTGGCTCCGTCCATCCTGCTACTTGTGCGGCCAGGCGTGGGAGAGCCTCTGCAGGCAGTGCCGGGCGGCGGGCAGGGCCAGGAGCAGGCTGGCGGCACGGCGCCCCGTCCAGTAGACGCCGTAGCCAAGGAGGCCCAGGGCGGCGGCCTTCACGGCCAGGCGGGACACTCTGCCCGAGGCGGACGGCGGGGGCACGCTGGGGAGGGAGGGTGGGCTGGGCTGGCTGGGGGGGCGGTCCCAGCCCCCAGCCCGACTCCGTGGCGGTGGGGCGGGGGCGTGCGGGGCACAGCACTCACGTCATGATCTCCTGGATGTTGAGGTCGGTGGTCCAGTTCTTCTCAATGCCGGGTACGTGGCCCATGCCCACGACGCCCACCACCACGGAGGGAACGCACTTCCTGGGCTCGGCTGGGGTGGGAGACGCATGAGCACCCGAGCACCCCCATTCCCCGCGGGGCCCCGTGCCCGTGGGCGCTGTGCTCACCGTCGGAGGCGCGAGGCAGCTCCAGGCGGCGGGCAGCCTGGCGCAGCATGTAGGTTAGGTAAACGTCGCGCTCGGACACGATGGTGCGGTGCAGGTCGGGGAACTCACCCACCATTTCCGCCATCATCTGCTCCAGCAGGTCCTTCTGCTTGCAGCGCTCCACGTCGTCCTTGCTGGGGGGAGGCGGCCGGCGCTGAGGCGGTGGGCCCAGGGCGGGGACTCCCCCCCGCTGCCCCCCCCGCCCCCCCTCCCCCCCCCCCCGCCCGCATCTGGACCCCATGGAGGGAGGGGAGGGGCGGCAGGAGACCCAGCCCGGGAAGTCGGGGAGCAGGCATCACGGCGGGGCGGTCACTGTGGGTCACGTGAGGCAGCTGGCCGAATCCCCAGTCAGGAGGCTGAGCGGACCTACCTGATGGGGTCCGACAGGAAGCAGAGGCCCCAGGCCAGCTTGACCTTCTGCCAGAAGGAGAGGGCGGCGATGGCCCGCTTGAAGGTAACAGGGATGGGGCGGTCGCCCAGATGGAACTTGCAGAACGGCACCCTGCTGGCCTGGGTGGAGGTGGGGTGTTGGGGTGTTGGTGGGGGACCCCAGGCCCCTCCCGAGCCCCCGCCCCCAGTCGGGCCTAGGCCCACCTCCTTGAAGGCCTCCCTGAACTCGCCGCCGGGGGCCACGCCCAGCTGCTCGGTGATGTGGGCGGACACCTTCAGCAGGAGCATCTGCATCAGCCCCGACGCCACGCCGTTCTGCGTTGGGGGGGGGGGGTGGAGGGCGTGTCAGCCGCAAGGGGGCGGGGCGGGGCTTCCGCAGGCCGCCCGTAGGTGTGTCCACCACAAGCCTGCAGGCTTGGGCCGGCGGCCTGCCCGTGGCCCCACGGGGCCCCCTGCCCTCGGCCCTCCAGCCCAGACCCGACTCCCCTGTCCACATCTCCCTTGGGTCCTAGGTCCCCGGGGAGGGACACGCAGTGGGGGTCTCGGCCTGCGGCCCCAGGACACACTGAAGCCCCCTCCCCAGCCCTGTGACCTGTCGGCGCCCCCGGGGTCCCCAGGGCCAGAGCCGCTCCCGCCTCGGGGCTGGGGCGCCAGCCGGCTCCCCTCCAGCCCCTCGGGCAGCGCCCCGGGCCCGGCCCGTCCGACGGCCGCACCTGCCTGACGGCCTGCTGCAGCTTCTCCAGGCTGATCTCCTTGGCTTCGCGCAGCAGCGTGCGCTCGTCCATCTTCAGCATGGACACACGGTACTGGCAGAGCTCCACCACCACCACGTCGGGCTGCACCTCCCGGATGGTCTGCCGTGGACACGCCAGCTCAGGGCCCGGCCCGGACGCGCCTGACCAGCGGCGACCCCACCCGCGGCTGGGCCGCTGCGCTCAGCACGTGAAGCCGGGAAGCGGCGGCCTCACCTTCACCACGTCCCGCTTGCTGTCGTCGCTGAAGTGGGCCGTGCCCACCACGTACACGCGGCTGCCGTCCTCGGCCACCAGCTCAGTCACTGTGCGCGGCAGGTCGGGCCGCTCTCGCCGCCTCTTCAGCTTCATCTCCAGCAGCAGGTTGAACGCATCCACGTCGGCTGCGGGACAGTGAGCCCAGCTCAGGGACGCCTGCCTGCACGGGGTCCTTCCCAGTCTGGAGCCTCTGATTCTCGCCCACCAGGATGAGCATCCTGGGGCCTGGGTGGGAGCCCCAGGCTGCCGAGGCGCCCAGGAGAGGCTGCGGCAGGGCCCATGGGCTCCAGGGTGACTCTGAAGCCCCCAGCCCACCAACCCAAGGAGGGGAGGGGGCTCCCGCTCAAGCACCCCCGAACACCCCAGGCTGGGTTGGGGCCCCGGCTCACCACGACCTCGGGAGGTCACCCCGCCCAAGCCCCACCCCACAGGGACCCAGGGAGCACGCACACAGGTTCTGGGGGTCTTCGGGGAGCACCCTGGGCACCGCCTCTGAGGCCCCTGAAGTCACGACGGGTTCCGTGTCGGCCTGCGGAGGGAGGAGGCGCTGAGGCTGTGCCGCCCCCGGCCTGGGGGGCCGCAGGCCATGTGCCCCCAACACGCTCGCGATGGCGCCCGGCGTGGCCCTCAGCTGGTCAGCAACACGGTGGGAAAACCGGTGAGGTGCCTCTGGGCACAGAAGGCGGTGTGACCCCGGGAGCCCCGGGGACTCTGCACCCCTCCCCTGGGCCCACCCAGCCTCTGACCTCGCGGGGCGGCTGCTCCTCCGGCTCCTCCATGGCTGGCAGCAGCTCTGGCAGCAACGCGTGAAGCCTGAGGAAACAGGGGCCGTCCTCACCTGGGGCCCCAGGGCCGGGGCACCGGCTCAGTGTGCCAGGGGCACCCGCGGGCAAGCCCAGGGCCCCGGGCGCGGAGCAGGGACACCAGGGCAGCAAGCCTGGAGTCGCCCACAGCTGGGACGCGCCTGCTCTGCTTGCCCGGCAGGGGGACACCCCATGGGGGAGTTGGCCAGACCTGGGTGCTTCCGATCTGACTTCGGAACAAAAACAAAATTTATAAAATTCCCTAAAAAAATGACACCAAGCGGTGGGCGGGGGTCTGTGTGGGGTCGGCGTGGGAGGCCGCGTAGCCACAGCCCCGCTCTCATGGGCAGTGACGCCCGCGTCCCAGCAGTGTCGGCACGGGTGTGAGTCTCACACGGGTGTGAGCAGAGACTCGGGAGGTGCGGGGAGCAGGGATTGGGGACGGCCTGGCTGTGCTGGCGTCACTGAGAACCCAGCCTGCTTCTAAGAAGCTGAGCTAGAAACCAAGTCCCCTGGGTCGTCTGTGAGCCTCTGCACTGTTCCTACCAGAGGCCAGCCAGGAGCTGGAGCCCAGGAAGACTGTTCTCACCTGAGAAAATCAGGGGGTCAGGGGTGGTGGGGTGTCAGGGGCTGGTGGGGGTGGCAGGGCGGGGTGGGGTGTCAGGGACAGGGGTGTCCGGGGCAGGGTGAGGGTACAGGGACACAGTAGGGGCGTTTGGGTGTCAGGGGGTGGGGTGGGGGTATCAGGAATGGGGTGGGTGTGTGGGGGGGTGGGTGGATGTCAGGGGCTGGGACGTGGTGTTCTCCGCCCCCCCACTGAGGACAGAAGCAGTGCCTGCCCCACAGCCGTCGTCACCCAGACCTCCCAAAGTGCCTCTGGAAACAAACCAGAAACTGAAAGAGCCTCGGTTCCAGCTGAGCTTGGAGCTGGGGTCCTGCGGGGCACCCACGGGCTGAGCCCACTGGATAATCTGACAGGTGACGGGACCGTCACATGAGCAGCGATTCTGATCTGATTTTGGCTCAGCGCCGTGGTGAGCTCTCGCATCCACGCGGTCACACGTGAACCGCGGGGGGCGCCTGGGAGGTCCACAAAGGCAGCAGGACATGCCCAAGGCCCCGTCAGCTCCAGTTTCACAACAAAGAGGAAATACAGACCATAAAATAAACACGACACCAGGTCAAGTTCCGCTCCCCTGTACCCTGTGACCCTGGGCCCAACTCTCACCCGGGCTCCGTTCCCAGCCCCTCTCGGAGCACTGGCGTCCTGGTCTGGGGCTCCCGGCAATGAAGTCGAGGGAAGGGTCCCGAGAGGGACCAACAGGCCCCAGGTGAGGCCCTGTCCAAGGAGCGGCAGGCAGAGCCGGGGGCCTCTGTGGGGGGCGGGGGGCCAGCGTGGGCTCTGAGCAGGCCAGGCCCCGGTGCCCCCCACCCGGAGCAGCAGCCACGCTGCAGGGGCTGGGCCCAGTGGAGGGCGGCTCACCGGCCTCACCAGCCCCAGGGCCGCCTCATTCCCGCTTCACAGACCAAGGCCCCACGGGAACAGAAACAGGAAGCTGCGTCTGCGGTGTCTGGCTTGGCCCGCCCTCCTCTCAGGCTCCCTAGCAGACCCAGAAGAGCCCCCTGGGTCCCCTTCACACGAGGTGCCAGAGGGTCAGAGAAGCTTCTCCAGGTAGCACCCGTGCTGTCCCAGGAAGCTTGTGTGACGGCCGGCGGGAGGCAGTGAACCTCAGTCTCCCTCCCCCGGGCCTGGGGGCCCAGACCCACCCTCTGTCCCCGGGGGCAGACAGGCCATGAGCCCCCAGACAGCTGGGCCACGGTCACAGTACCCAGACCCAGCACTTGGAGTGCCCCAGGGTGGGTGCCTGGCCTGGGAGGCGGCTCTCACTTCCCAGCGTCTGGTTTCCCAGAAGCTCAGACAGGGCCCCTGGGGGACCCCTCCAGGACCCTCCTACAGCGTGACACACCCTCAGATCTCTACAGCCGGACCCGACCTCTCGGCTGCCTGGAGGGGAGCAAGGGCCCAGCCTCTACCTCCTCACACCCGCAGGTGGCGTTTCTGGCCACAGGATTTCTGGACGACAGGTCCTGGCAGCCCAGCCCAGCAGACCCCAGGCACCATGCCCAGGCCCAGGGAGCCCACACCAGGCTTCCGCCCAGCAACCCGGCCACCAACGCCGAGCCCTTGGGGAGCCGGCACAAAGCAGACCTTTCCACCCGATCCAGGTGCTCTCCCCGCACCCCAGCAGCTGTCACTACCGCCCTGGCCTTAGGGAGCGCGGCCTGGGGAGGCCTCCTGAGCTGGGTGGCCCGAGGCCGGTCCTCCAGCAAATAGGCAGCTGGGCTGTCAGCAACCTGCCCAGACGCCTACCTCTGGCCTCCAGGGCCGGGGTGGTTCGAGCAGCCACCCAGCCGTCCCATGATGGGCACAGGGTGTGCTGCGCTCAGACGACACGTCGGCGTCCATCCCTGGGGCAGGGGGACCAGGAGGCAACTCCGCAGAAGGGGCGTAACTGTAATCTGGCTCCACCCACACACTTCCGGGGAAACAGACTCCAAATGCCAGGGAGCCCCTGACCCCCAAGAGGACCCATCTTGCCGGATTCACCAGAGAACGCACCGGCTCACAGGCAGGGAGAGCCCCGCCTGCGTTGGGGACCCCCAGGGAACGTGTCATGCGCTCTTGCTGGACGACGTGTTAGCGCAGCAAACAGCCTGCTGAGTGCCCCGTGTCGCACAGACCCAGGACAGCAGGCAGCCGGCTGGGAGCCAGACCATGGGCGGCCATCTCCTTTCAGGGTCCCACTGCTATGGACTGGGCTGTGTCCCCTCTGATCCATATTTTGAAGCCCTGAGCCCAATGGGATGAAATTAGGAGGCAGGGGCTCCGGGAGATGACTCAGATGAGAAGGTCACGAGGCTGGGCCCCAGGATAGGATGAGAGCCTTCCTGGGAAGAGCCCCGGGAGGGCTGGTCTTGGAGTGCATGGTGAGAAGGCAGCTGTCTGGGGCCAGGAAGAGCTCCTCTCAGCAACCAAGGCAGCAGGAACCTTGGTCTTGAATTTTCTATCCCCACAACTGTGAGGAAACTGTTGATTTAGCCTCATCGGTGGTATTCTGTCATGATCACACTCAGTCGTTCCCTCCCATCTGCCTCTAAAAATCAAGAAGCCAGAAACGCCTCCCAGAGCCCAGCCCGGCTTCCCCTTACTGGCCAAGAGCTGACCAGCGCCACATGGAGTTTCCAGAAAAACCAGCTCCCAACCAGCCCACTAGGCCTGCCTGCTCAGGTCAGGGATCCCAAACTGGACAAACAACAGGCTGTAGAGAAAAACGACTGAGTGGGAGGCAGCAGAGTGTGGCCTGAAGCTACACCCCTACACCCCCACTTCTGAAGCCACTGCAACAGCCCCGGGTCTGGCAGGCTGTTTTATGGAGCTGTGGCAAAGGTCAGGATATGGGTAAAGGGTCAAGTCACACCTGAGCTGGAGGCCTAGCACACCTGGCCAGCCCTCCTGGAACCTGTACTCTGCCCAGTGGGGGTCCCCATGCTGACCTCCATGGAGGCACTGGGAGGTGGGGGCCTTCCTGCCCACCATGCTGGGCCCTCTCCTGGCGGTTCTGCCCCAGGCCTGACACCGCAGCATCACCGCCATCCTGCAAGGCTGCCCAGTGGCACCAAGGTCAGGGGGCTCCCTCCCAGTCACACAAAAAGGGGGCGGGCAATGACAGCCAGGGAGACAGCCCAGAGACAGTGCCGCCTGCACGGGGGCGCAGCGAGCCGGTGGCCTGTACACCCGCCTCTCCGGGGGACTCCGAGAGCCCGGAGGAAGACACCTGGAGGCCACCCATCTCCGGATGCGGCGGCCCCGACACCCCAAGTGTGACGCCGAGGACTTCCTGCTCTCCGTGAGCCTCGCTTTTCTTTCTCGGGACAGTTTTCACAGAGACGCATTTGAGAACTTTGCGGCATGTAAGTTACATCTCAATAAAGCTACTCCCAGAATCGAGGCGAGTAGAGCGCGCCGGGCCTCGGAGTTTGGGCTCCGGGGCTCCATATGGCAGCCCCGACTCCTTGGCCTGAAGGGCAGAGGCCGCCGGCGCCGTGAAGGGCCCAGGGTCCCTCCAAGGCCACGCCGCCGCCCCTGCGGAGCCGGGCTGCCCGCTCGGACCGCCGCCACCCCCGGCCCCGGCCCCGACCCCGACCCAGACCCCGACCCCGACACAGCCCGGTCCCCGCCCCCGGCCCCGCCCCCGGCCCGCAGCGCCCTTGCCCTCAGCCCCGCGCGCTCCGCGGAGGCCGGCGCTGACCCTCCGGCCCGGGGCCGCGTGCTTCGGAACGACTGGGCCCGGTCTGGACCGCCCCTGCAGCCGCCGCCCCCGCCCCGCGCGCCCCCCGCCCCGGCCCGAGCCGCGCGGCGTACCAGGCGGGGCGGCGCTCCTCAGCCGGCCTCCATGCGGCGCGTCGCCCACCGGACGGGGCGGGGCGGGCCGGGGCCGCGGGGCGGGGCGGGGCGGCCAGACGGGCTGCGGCCGGGGCGGGAGCGGGGCGGGGGGGGCGGGGGCGCGCGGCTTGCCGGGAAGCGTAGTCCGGCGCGCCGTCTGCTTGAGCTTGCAGCAGGCCCGATCCGCAACTGCGAACTACAGTTCCCAGAGGGCCGCGCGCGACTGTGCGAGGACTTCACTTTCCAGGAGGCCGCGCGCAAGGAGCACCACCCGGCCCCTCCTCGCGCGCCAGGCTCCGAGGGCTTAGCGGCGTCTGAGGACGTGGATTCGAGTCCCAGGCCTGCGGCCGTATTGGGGAGGCGTTGCGAAGCGCCCCGAAATTCTCTGGCCGCAGCTTCCGGTCGGGAAAAGGGAGTGGATGTTCGTGTGGCCTGCTATGATACAGAACTATCAATGCAACGCTAGGAGCAGAGTCCAGACCGCAGATCGCGCCCGTGCGGGTGCCTGGGCGCCCCCTCGGCCTGGCGGGTGGGGTCCGGGGAGGTGCGGGCGGGGGCAGGGCGGACGGGATGGGGGGCGCGCAGCCGGACGGGGAGCCCAGAGTGAGGCCGGCCCCATCCGCTTTGCCTAGTCAGCTCCAAGAAGGGGGTGCACCCCGCCCTGGCGCCCCTGCGGGTCCCGGGCTCCCCCGTTCTGAGTTGAAACGCCCCGTCCAGCCTTGAGTAGGGTGGGCTCCCGGCCGGCAGGCTGAGCTGTCAGGAGAGGCTCCAGGCTGACCCTTAGCTTCCAGGCTCCTGGCCCACAGCCTGGGCCCAGCCTCTCTGTCCGGTTGGCATGGCACAGATTGGCTCTGCCCGCCCCGCCGCCTTGGCCACCCACACAGCAGAGCTGGAGCGCTGCCCTTCACTCCAGGCAGTCGTCCCGCTGGAGAGCCGGCCTGGCTGAGACGCCCCCGCTGGGCTGGTGTGACTGATGCAAGCCCGGGCTCCCGTCCTGGCTGCCCGGGGTGCGGTCCGAGGTTCTCCTGACGCCCCTCCTCCTGGGAGAGGGAGGGCGCCCCCAGCTGTCCTGCCCAGGACCGGCTGTGGACCGTGTGTCGTGGACCAACAGCTCCCGTGGGGCGCCCTCTGCCTGCTCCCCTGAGGTGCAGCCCCGGCCCGCAAGAGGAGGTCAGCCTCAGTGGGAGTCTGACTCCCTCTGTTCCCCAGCCAACCCAGGCCTTGGAGGAGACGGCCCGAAACGTCCTGCCAGCCTTGGCTCAGGGACGGGGCTGGGGGAGAGCAGTCCTGCCAGAGACACAGCCCAGGGCTCAGAGGCCGCAGCGCTCCAGCCCTGCCTCGACTAGTAGGCACACGCTGGCCAGTGCAGGCCCGCGGCCGCCGGCGTGCCTCGGCTCTGAAGGAGGCCCTGTGTGGGCGTGAGCAGGGCGGGGCGGGGGCTGCCCTCCAGCCCTCAGGGGTGGGGGGGCCTGAGGTCAGGGTGGCTTGGGTTCCCAGGTGGGCACAGCCGCTCTCCTGGGGAGGGGCCACCTTGGCCCCGGTGCTGGGGTCACCATCACCACGGAGCTGCTTGACCTGCGGGGCTGGCCCAGCCTGCGTGGGTCCTTGGGTACCTTCCCCAGACACGTGGAGATGGTGCCAGCCTGAGGGGCAGGGGCCACGTGCCCTGGGACACTGGGCAGCAGAGAGCGGCAGGTGTGGGTGAGTGCTTTCTGGGGCAGGGCTGGGAACCCTGCTAACCCTGGAGAGACCGGCCCTCCCAGGGCCGGCCAGTTCCTAGAGCCGGCGAACAGCTTCACAGGCCAAGGGGACGTCCGGAGCATGGCGCCCCATCCTCCTCGGGCTCCTGTGTGTCCTGGTGCTGCCCTCGGGATCCCCCGGGCCGGGCACCCGGCAGCCAGGGGCAGCCCCCGGCCTGAGCCCCCCCAGATTATTCATGCCGGCCCGTCCTGAGCCTGCTCACCCTGCCTCACATGCGCCCTCCCTGTGGAGACCCCAGGAAAGGCCCTGCCCACACGTCCTCCCGCCTGCCTCCTGCCCGGCCCTGGGGCCCTCCTCTCGGGAGCTGTCTGTGAAGTGGCGGCCTCCCCCGATCTCGGGCCTCACCGTCCCCGAGTGATGATGGAAACCCATTAGGATGCCACCCCTGGACAAGAGATCATCTGCAGGGCGCCCAGCGGGGGCTGCTCCAGAGAGGGCCTGTCCAGGGTCTTCCTGTCGGCCCTCCACATGGTGCAGCAGATGGTCCCCCTCAAATCCCCGCCAATCCCCCTCGTGATTGTAGCCCCGGGGCCCCTGGCCTGGCTTCCCCAGCCACCTTTAGGCCCCCAGGGTCTCCTGCGGGGCCTGGGAGGCTCATGACTCCTCGGATCAGCCGCACCCCCACCTGCATCCCGAAAGCCCCCTACCCCGAGTCTCCGCAACACGGGTGCCTCCTCGGTGAAGCCCTCCTGAGTCCCGCCAGCCCTGGCTGTTGCCTCGGGTGCACCTCGCAGCTGGGCCCTCAAGCATCTGATGGAGGCGGCTTCCCGGGGGCCAGGCCCCCTCCACTGAGGCAGGGACTCACCCAGGGGCCCAGGATGCACGTGAGGCAGCTGGAGGCTGCTGGCGAGGACCACACGGCCTGGCTCAGCTGCGGCAGGGCCCCCGGAGGGCAGCGGGCATCTCCCGGTGCCCTGCCCCCCAGCACCTCCACCCCGTGCAGGGAGATGGAGCCCCAGCCGGAGCACGGGCCTCTGGCGGGACGCAGCACTCGGGACCCGGGGGTATCAGAATAATCTTTATTGAGATGCTCGGTACCTTGCTAACACTGTCATTATGTCCCCGTGGCTGAGGTAATGGGGAGCCCCGCCCACGCCAGCCCGGGGCTCCCACAGAGCGCTGGGGCCCCTCAGGTGGCCTGGAGGGGGCATGGTTATTGCGTTGGATTCCTGCCCTCACCGGCCTCACCCCACGCCCACTCATGCACACGCTCCACGCTCGCCGGCCCTCACACACACCCGCGGGCACGCTCGCACAGTCACACGCACGACATCCTTTGATTTAAAGGCATCCGAAGCCGCCGGATAATCAATGTGCTGGCGAATTACAGTAATCGCAGTAAAGTAAAGGACAGGCGGTTGGGGTACGGGGAGAAAGTGCATGTTGACCTTTGACCGGAGGGCGCCCGGCCCCTCCCGCCAGGGCGCACGTCCCTGCAGGGGCGGGCCAAGGCTGAGGAGCCACCCCACCCCCCGCGCCCCCCTGAGTCGTCCTGCCACCTCCCGGCCCCTCACAGGCCAGCATCCCAGGCCCCAAACAGAATCAACTAAGAAAATAAGCTCTTCATCTCACAGCCGAGCGCCTGATGCTGGGGGGAGGGGCGGCTCTGGGCCTTGGGCCGCGGGGCTCCTACGGGGTCCTGGCCAGCCCCGGACCCAGCCAGCGCCCCGACGATGCCGTTCAGGCGGCCGGGGGGAGAGGCGCTGGGCCCCATGGCATGCGGGCGGGAGGCCGGGGCGCGTGGGCAGTGCCGGGCGAAGCGGAGGCCGCCTCCGCACGGGGCTGGGAGCAGCGGCCTCGCGGTCATGCAGCCGTGCGCAACCCCGGCCCTCAGAACTCCACGGTACTCACTACTGTCCTCGGCTCGTCGAAGGTGGCGATGAGGATCTGCTGCGGGGGAGGGATGGTGATGAGGCTGCCCACGTCCTGGGGGGCGCGGGGGGCCCCGTCCTCTTCTTCCCGGGCCTCGTAGAGGGTGCTGATGTGCAGCAGCGGGTGGGTGGCATTGCGGCTCAGGATGGCAAGGGGGTCAGGCTTGCCCAGGCTGGCTGGCGACAGAGGGGCGGTGGCAGGGGCGGCGGGGGGCGAGCAGACGTGAAACAGGCCCCCAGGGGACAGCACGCCCCGGGCTGGCTCTGCTGAGTACAGGACCTCCTCCTCCGGGAGCGGCGCGTCTGCAAACAGCCCAGAGTACAGGGTGTCTGCAGCCCCCTCCCCACCTGCGGCCCCCCCTACTCCTTCCCGGCGGGCTGGAGCGCTGAAGCTCCCCAGCACGGTGGCCTGTCTGGATGGACCCTGGCTGCCCCAGGAGCAGGGGCGCCTGTTTCCAGAACCTTCTCCAGGAGCTGAGCAACCTCACCGTGTGTTCCCCTCTCCAGCCCTTCATCCCGGCTGCTTCCTGGAGCCCTGGGGCGAGGGAGCCGCCTGGGGTCACGCCCGCAGCTGGCTCCCCTGCCTGCCCCGGCGTCCACCCGGATGGCGCAATCCTTAACCTGCTCACGGCCCCCTGCCCCCGCCCTGCCGGCCCCTACCTTCCGCGGGCGCCGCTGTCAGGCCCAGTCCGCACTCGTCCGCCTGGGACAGGAAGCCGCCTTCCTGACTCCGGGAGGCCGGCAGCGCGGCGGGCACGGCCTCGGCCTTGGCCTTCTTGGTGCCCAGGATGTAGGGGTGCACGTCCAGGGAGAAGTGGCGGGCGTGCTTCTTGTCGGTCGCGGGCCCCGCGTCGCCCCCGCCGCCCTTGTAGTGGTGCGCGGCGCGCGCGCCCGCGTCCAGCAGCGGCGCGATCAGAGTGTCCGTGGCTGTCTTGCGGCGCACGGGCTTGGGTTTCTCAGCCTTGCTGTTCTCCACGCGCATGATGGCCAGCGGCTCCTTGAAGGGCTGGGGCAGCGGGTTGCTGCTGGGAATCCACTTCATCTTCTTGCGGGGCCGCTTGACCACGGGCGGCTCGGCCGCGCCGTCGGGCTCGGCGGGGTTGGCGCTGGGGTCCACGGTCTGCACTCCCGCGTCGCGCACGGTGGGCGTGGCGTCGTGGTTGGACTGCGCCAGCGCCGCCAGCAGCTGCCGCACCACGTTGTCGTACATGAGGTCGCTCTCGTTGGTGATGAAGTCCAGCCGGTTGAGCGACTTGATGTGGTCCCGGTTCTCATTGCAGAACATGGCCAGGATGTTGATGTCGCAGAACTGGGAGCGGCGCCACTGCCTGCGCGTTTTGATGCCCACCTTGTGCAGCTTGTCGAAGACGAAGTTGCTCTTGCGGAAGATGAAGAGGTGCGTGAGGTTGACCAGGATGACGAGGTTCATGGCGCAGAGGAGCACGATGTCCACGCCCGCCACGATGCGCTGCAGCTGCACCGACGGCAGCTTGCAGGTGACGCGCACGGACGGGCCGCCCCCTGGGGCCGCGCCCAGCGCGCAGGTGAACTCGTTCTGCTTCTGGGTGGCGTAGTAGGTGCACAGGTAGGAGATGGGCGCCACGCTGAGCAGCAGGATGAGCAGGTGCCGCGCCAGGTAGAGCTTGGCCAGGAAGTTGCTGCGGCCGCGGCGCTCCAGGTACTTCTCAAACAGGTTCTGCTCAGGGCTCTTCTCCTTCTCGGCGTTCTCGATGATCTCGCGCCGCTCGCGCTCCGTGATGCCCGGGCCCTTGGACTGGATCTGCTTCTCGATCTTGGGCGCTCGGCCCTCGGCCGCCCGGTGGTAGCAGTTGTCGATTTCCTGCAGCAGGAAGTTGAGCTCGGAGGTGAGGCGCGTGGACGCCAGGAACTCCCAGCCCAGCGCGGGCACGTACATGATCGCCGCAAAGGCCAGCAGCGAGTAGGGCAGCAGCTTATGTTCGAACAGCGACGGCCACAGGCTGGCGTCCACGCCGGGCAGCGCGTCCCGCAGCTCCGTCCAGCAGTAGCCGCGGGCGTACAGTGCCTGGTCGCGCGTGAAGTTGTGTGGCGTGTAGCAGTAAATGGGCTCCTCTGGGGGCGGAGAGGAGAAGGCGCTGGGGCATCGGACCCCTCCCGGTCTGCGGCTCCCGAGCCCCCTTCCCCGTCTCTGCTGTGTCCCGCGGGGATCTCCTCCTACACCCCCTCCCGCCCCCACATACCGCAGTCAGCTTTGCGTTGGGGGTGGAGGGTACAGCCCTGCCCACCTGGGGGGGCAGAGATCTGCACTTGGAACCTCAGGCCTCCCCCCAGGTGCCACCACGCCCGCCCCCAGCACACAGGGCAGAGTTCAGAGCCCGGGGCGCCCCGGGAGCCTGGCACCACCACCCATCCTGAGGAGGGCAGGTGCCCTGGGCGAGTCCTCCCTGGCCAGAGGTTACGGGGGCATGACTGAAGAAAAGCAAAAGTGGCGTTTGCCTGTGAGAGGTGAGGGTGTCCCCCCAGACCCACTGTCCTGGGGAAGGGCAGGCCTGAGGTCCCTGGATGCTGGGGGGTCAGGGGAGCCACTCCAGTGATCGGACAGCAAGGAGTCATCACCCACACCCCCGTGTCTGCCCAACATGCGAGGGTGAGAGCTCTGCCCCGAACGCAGGAAGAACTGTCTCCCCAGGTGAGGACAGGCACAGACCACAGCGGGAGGCGTGGCCCCCACCCCGGGTCTCCCAGAGGGCAGGGCTTGGCTGCCTCGGCACTGTCCTCAGGGCAGGGTGGTCTGGGCCCTGAAGGCCGGGTCACTGCGCTATCAGGCTGGGCTCCAGTCGGGGGTGCCCTCCTGCAGGCGCTGGCGCCCGGGGCCCCTCACCTAGAGGGCAGCGTTCACTGGAGGAGGCGGCGCCCCAACCTGAACACAGCGGGCACCCTCCCCCTCACCTGAAGAGCCCCGGGGCAGGCTGCTAAGTCCCCCTCTGCCCCAGCTTAAGCCTCTCAGCCCAGGAGACACAGACCAGGAAGCTGTGGGGACCAGCACGCCCGTCTGTCTGTCTGTGCAGGCCCCCCCCCCAAGGCCTGCTGCACAAAGCCGGCCCTTGACTAGGGAGGCAGCTGGTCACTGCTGGTGACTCGCAGGGGCCGAGGGGCCGGCTACCCCCTGGGCACAAACACCTTGTACGCGCCTCGGCCCAGCCCGCGGAGACCACCTCCCTTTCACACGCACAGGCCTCAGGCCACCATCACCCTGTCTCAGCCTCGTGCCATCCTGGAGGCCTTGGGCCTCAGCATCGCCAGAGCGGGGCCCACGGCTCGTTTCGGGAGTGCGGACCTCAAACTCTGCCTGGCGGGTGCTGGGGAGTCAGGGGCCTGGGGGCACGAGGGACGCGGGCGAGCGGGCTTAGGGGTGGCGATAAGGCGGGGGCACTGGGGTGGGGGCAGGTCAGGAAACGCTGTTCCCACAGCCCAGGGTCCCTGACAAGGACACGGATTTGGGGCCTGGTGGTGAGTTAGGCTCCGAGAACACGGAAAAGGTACAGGAGCCAGCGTCGCGGTTGAGAAAATAGCATTTCATTCACTTACTTTTGTCCTTACAGCCAACTCCAGGCCAGGAGACGCTCTCTGCTGGGGAAAGGGACCCTGGGGGGTGGTGCCCCGGTCCAGGCCCTGGCTGGGCCCCAGGGCACGGGGAGACCTCTCCCGTGGCCATGGTGCTGCAGGCACAGGGGAGCTGAGCCCCTCTGTGCACCGAGGCAGGCCCCCCACCCCGGGTCCTCTCACGCCCGCCGCCAGCCCTGCCTGCCAGCAGGGAGGGGAAACAGCTCCAGCTCAGGGGAGGCCCAGCCCAGCGCCCCACGGGCTCTTCTCCAGGATCTCCGTCCTTCTCCCTCCCGCTGACTACTGCGAAGCAGACTGCGCCCAGCAGAGACCACGTGTGGCATCCAGGTGCCTCAGGACCCTGCCCTGGAGGAGCGGTGGTCACATGTCCTGACTTGACCTGCAGGGGCCCAGGGCCTGGGCTGGACTCCGGGGGGGCGGGGGGGCGGTAACTGCTGGGCCACGGAGCCTGAGCACTGGGCACTCAGACACGGCAGGGTCTGCACAGGTGTCTGCTGGGGGCCTGAGACACAGACAGTTCACGAAGGGCACCATTCTGGAGG